ATGCCAATATCCCAAACTCTGTTCTTACATCCTCTTTGATGGTCACCACATAATGTTTCATCCATTGAGGTAAACCAGCCATAAGGTCTTCATAAGCTTACGCCACAGATCATATATTAATAAATCACTATTGAGCAGATCTGGGCAATGATATTATGTAAAAAGAGATGCAAAACTCGTGAGTATGTAGTTACACATTCCTTCTTTGTACTGGATCACTGGCCTGCCATCCTGAATACTTGCATGTGTGTTTTTGACTTGGGAGACCTGAGCCAGCTAGTGTGATGATTGTCTCACTTCTGTCCTCATTTGTGTTTGGTTTTCTGATGGTTTTGCTTGATTAAGATGCATAGATTTCTATTATGTCTGTATTTTGAAATATATGATGATCAAAAAATCCTGATTTTTATTAATGAGATAGAACTTAACAAAAAAACAGTGGAAAAGAAATGTTAATCCCTGCTTTTCATAGTCAAGCGTTGTTTCAGTGAAATGGATGAAATACAACTAACATATCAGAGCCTCTTCATGCTCCAGGATAAAGGAGCTTAGTAACACTACAAGAAATAGGGGCAAAGAACTCCAGAAGATAGGGAAATGTTTCCTTTTGCCTCAGGAAAAATATATTATTCAGTGACCTCCACTGTGCCTGTCTGAGCCAAACCCCATCAGAGTCGGTGCTCAGGTTGCATTTCTGTTGGAGTGAGCACAGGCTGCATTTGCATAAGCAATAGACACTCAGTAGGTATGGCCACGAGGAGAAGCTGCTAATAGTAGGTCACCAAAATACCTGCTTCACTGGTCGTTGTCCAAAATATCAGTTCCAATTGTGTATTTGCCATTGAAGCATTTATGTCAGGCCCTCTTTGGCATTAGAAGTTTAGCCACTCAACTGCCAGAAAAGGTAAACTTGGATTCTTTTGCTCTTGCCTCCTTGATGTGTTTTTTTTTTTCCTGCAAAACTGGGGAGATGATTGCTGGTATATGCATGGTAATAAAGCTTGTCAGACACAGACAGTCAGAATTCTTCTGAATTCACGTTTAATTTATTCACGGCACAGCATGCAGCAAAGCTGATGGCAAGTTAATGTGCTGCACTTTAATGAGATATCTGTTTGCCTCCCAGGTTTTGAGGTTTTTGCTAGTTTTATTTATCAACCTGGCCAAAGCCAAAGCCATAAGGCATTACAAATCTACACTAAAATATTTTATTTACTTAGCTGATGCTGTTGCCAGAGGAGAAATCGGTGAAGTAATTAAATAGTGCTGCTTTTATTTTAGAACAGGCATGGGGTCTTTTTGAGTATACAATATGTCCTTCTCAGTGTTGTGGCTCACAGATACTACCTAGATCAAAATATTCTATTCACAATTTCCCAGTTTTGATGTAATTAAATTTCCACCTGTCTTTGAAAATTGACCCCCTCATTCTCTTTAGAGGTGTATATTTGAGGGGAAGAGGGACCGAGGGAAAAGTGTAGCAAGTCTGTAGTATGAAATGCAAGTGCAGAAATTTCAGTGTGACAGAGCTGCAAAGTCTCCCATTAAACAACAGATGATATGGCTCCACTAGTTCATGCCAATTGAGTTCTTGTGTTACAACTTAGTCTTTTAGCAACTGCAGTTCCTCCTCATTAGCTAATTACTGCATCAATAATGAAAAGAAGATGAACCTTAGTCAAGAAAAATGATGTTGTGATGTATCACTAATGAAACCATTTCTGTCACGCAGTGGGAGCATGCAGGGATCGGGAGGCACCTGGGAACATCACGCTGTGGATGGCCGTGAAATGCCAGCCCTCACGGGTCTGCCAGCCTCTCCCAGGGTGGGTGGAGAGGAGCACAGTGCGTGGACACTGTTTCATACAGCAGTCTTGCAGTCTGAATTGCATGTATCAGTGTAGGTGTCCTCTGAGAGGCTTGTGTTAATTTATCTAAAGCCAGTTAAAATGTCATTTTAAGTCTTGCTAGTACTCATGCCACTCTTCGGTGGACTCGGAGTCCAACAATATTGGTTGTTGGACTTGATGATCTTAAAGGTCTTTTCAACCTAAATGATTCTGTGATTCTATACAGAAACATTGCTTCCGTACACAAAAGAGTGCTTGGAAAAGGGTCTTTGAGATGGAGCTAACATCTTTTGTGTGTGTTAACCTTTAATGTCTAAAACCTGTCAAAGTGAAGGTCAGATTGACCTTTCAATTCACTGTTGTACCTTTGCATTATGTTTTCTACAAAGCCAAAACCACATTTTGCAATAGGAATACAGTCAGGTTACGAAACTGTGTAGTTATCTTTCAGTTTTGTGCACCCTTTTTGATATAAGCTATTGTCTGTTTGGCTACAAATGCATAAATAAATAATTATTAGGAAATAACTGATAGATTTATGGGGAAATGCAATTACAGGCTTCAGTTGAAATGTGCCTGTTGTTAGTTACAATCTCCTCCTGTTTCTTTGCTGCTAACAGAAGGCTGAGAGAGTGGAGAGGAATGGGGAGGGAGTGTATAGGAGGGGATATGCCACTGAGCATAATCAGTTTTGGGAACAAGGACAATCAAATTTTGTCCAGCCCTTTGCTGAGAGACTTCAGGAAAATACATGCAAGGTTTATATTTGGAAATATCAAACTGCGTTTGGCATTCAAGTCAGGTAATGTAACCCATAGAAATCACAAGATTGAGCCGACCTTCTGTGCGTTTCTTCAAGCAAATTAAGAAAATGTTAATTTCGGATGCTGTGCAGGTGGAAAGATGCACATAGACGAAATATCAGCACATTTGCCTATGTGTAATGCTTTTTATTTATAGATGTCTTTCTTTTCTGTTGGACCATGAGCTGCCTGTTAAACTGTGTGTCTCCCCTCAGATGCCAGTGGCGTGTCAAAAGGAAAAGTTGTGCATGTGAGCAGGGATGGCTGGTGGAGGTCATTGGGGGAGAGGGGCTCTGCCTTCCAGCAGGTGCCACCTCTGTACCAAGACAGTTCGCACATCCTCTGGGGTTTCTTTCCCATCTGAACAATAGAGCCTTTGATATCAGAACAGTCTGGAGTTTAGTAGTTATTTGCTTGGCAGAGAAAAGGGCAAACTACTGCCACAGACTGCCAAGTGATGTTACCTGTATCGTTAAGGGTTGGCATTGAGTCTGTTGATCAAGCATTAATGGGATTAGCTTAATGAAGAAACTTATGGGTCACAAAAAAATATTAAAAGTTTAAGAGGTTTGGGTTTTTATTAGCATCCTTCCTTTCAAGAAATCTTTTTAACAACTTAACTCCAAATTTGTGTCCAAAGGTGTTTAGTCTAACATTATTGTTATTTTTCTCAATGCATTTATAGGGTTCCAGGATTACTTTGTTGCTGACAGTGGGTGTTTTCGTCATATTAATAAGATTTTTTTTCCTTCTTTTGTCTATTACCAAATTATTTTGCCAGCATTTTAGGGTTTGCTGTTGGTTCTGTTGCATGAATTTTTTTAAAGTGTTTTGAAACACTTTTCTTGTTTCAGTTATTTCCTGTGGAGTTGAGTTAGCTGAGTGAAACAGATGACTTCTCAGTGTTTTAAATTCTCTACCTAGTTGTATATAGTAGTTAAAAATGAGTAATATTTAGAGGTTGAGGGTATAGGTCTTCTGGGTATGATGTGTAAATTTGAGAACTAAATGGTAATGTGGCTTCATTTTTCTTCATTTTTGGCAATCTCCATTCAGACACCAAATTTAGTATCTTCCCTTATTGCAGCTGTTTCCTTATGACTGTGATAGTCCCAGGCACATAGAAAAGGTAATAATTTTTGACGACCAGTGGCTATAATTGCAAAAAATTGGATAAACTTTTAGGTATAGAAAACCTTTTTCCAGGCCTGAAATGGAAGCAGCAGACTTCAAGCTAAGTACAAAAATACAACCTGACACTAATACTAGTGCCATCTAGGAATATATGCACTCCAAGTAGCTCAGTCTGTGAAACTTGCAAGTGTTACTGTCTGGATATCAAGTGGATTCCAACCTGGATTGTGCTGAGCATGTTCCAAAACCTTCTTTCCCTCAACACATCAAAATCTGGGCACTGTTCTCGTGTGACGGTGGGAGAAATACCAAGACAGCTTGTGTAATTTTAGTTTGTCTGACAGAAAGTGTTACGCTGTTTCTCCCCAAGGATGTAGCTTACAGAGAGCACTCAGATGGGGCTTGTGGTGGTTCTCTCTGGGCTGTGTAAAGCCACATATGTTCCTCCCTACACACTCACACACAGCAAACATGCAGAGGAAGGGTGCATTTCCCGATGGGTGTTTCTGCAGGACCCATAGCAGCAACTCTGGTCTTGTAGGCTCTCATTTTGTCCTTGTCCACACCTCCCTACCCACAACATCAAACACAGAGTGCTCACACCTGATTTTAGAGCCCAGCTTGCCTCAGCCCAACAGGTGCGTCCTGGTAGCTGTGCAGGGCTGGTTTTTGCTGCATCCTTGTATTAATGACCCCTACTCTTGAACCTGAGTCAGCACTTCCCACAAAGCACCATCACCTTTTCTCCTGTGTTTTTCTTCTGTGTTACTGTGGGGGAGAACACTGTTTGAGAATGAGAGTCTTTTTCCAATCTGTCATGGTTTAACCCCAGGCAGCCACTAAGCTCCATGCCGCTGCTCACTCACTCCTCTGCCAGTGGGGTTGTGGAGAGAATCAGAAGAGTAAAAGCTGGAAAACTCATTGAATGAGGTAAAAACAGATTAATAGGGAAGAAAAAAGCCACACACAAACAAAATGACACAAGGAATTCATTCACACTTTCTGTGGGGACGCAGGTGTTCAGCCACCTCCAGGAAAGCAGCTCTCCATCACACGTAATGGTTATTTGGAAAGACAAACGCCATCAGTCCAAACATCCCTTCCCCCTTTCTTCTTCTTCCCCCTTATATACTGATCATGATTTCATGTGGTATGGAATGTCCCTTTGGTCAGTTGGGGTCATCTGTCCTGACTGTGTCTCCTCCCAGTTTACCATGCACCCCCACCCTCCTCACCAGCATGTAAGCACTGCTCAGCAAGAACAAAACCACTCCTGTATTATGTCTCTGTAGAAGTTTCTCTGATTCCTATCTTGAGCAAGGCAGATATGTTCCTTGTTGAGGACTTCTTCAAGCTATCCCATACAGGTGTAGCTACTATAATTGTACCTCGGTCAGACAGAAAAGAAGTAAGACTCTTTGTTCCTTACCTATCTTCCACAAAGGGGTTTTCAGGGTCACAGTTTTAGACTTTACACCTCTAAATTAAGTGTAGATGGACTCTAAATTCTTTCAAAGTACAAATTCCAGACTCTTGAGACCCCAAGTTGCCCATTAATAACACAGGGATAATATTTCCCTCCTTTAAAGATGCATTTATTAATGGTAGAGATATATATGCTGGGGTTCATCTCACCTAATTTTGTCTGACTGAGCTGTTTTTTCTCATTTAAAGAGTGGAGAAAAAGAATCACCTTCACTAACGAAGCATCCTAACTTACAACAGTCACATATATGTGAACAGGGTACACTCCAGAGGTCCCTCTTTTTCATCTCAGAAGGAATTTAGATGACCAGTGCTAGTTTAGATGAGGCTTAATTTTAAGTGGTTTCAACTGGGTGAAGTAGTTGGTGTGTTAAATGTGGACAAGCTAAGTGAATGTTCTTCTGTGTGATAAAATTAAATACCCAATGAATTGCTGCTGCTGCAAACAGAACCTGTTCAGATGGAGGCAGTTTTTAGTGCTGGAATTTTGTCATGATTTCCCAGTTTCTGATTTTTAATGGTGAGGATTCAAATCCATCTTGAAAATCTGTAGGTCTAAATATCACCATACGGTTGCAGGGGCAAAATCATGAAAGCATATCTTTCCTTTGGCTTGGTTTCAAACAGCATGACATCATTTTTATCAAACTGCCTCTATTAGTTCTTTAATTCAGCAAACAGAGATTGCTAAGTAAGGTTCCTTTTCCAGCCAAAACGTCAATCAGAACTGTAAGCTCTGCAGAGTACTGTACAAATTAAAATTTAAACATCGCTATTGTAGTAATTATTTTGAGCATCTTTTTTTTTATGACACTCAGAAGAAAAGGGATGACTTGTCGTTGAGTTTCCAGACTCTAATTTTCTCCCTGTATAAGTGTGCTCTGCCGAGATCTCTTTCCCCTCTGGCTGTGCAGTGTTTCTCTGCTGCTCATACCCAGCTGGGAGCTCCCTGTCTTAGTTATTGAGCTGCCACAATAGAGGCAGGAAGAATCCAAACAGCCTTTGTATATGTGGTTTGAATGTTCAGGGGATCTGATGAATAGACAAACATATGATTTGACTGCTAGGGAGATGATTTGATGGCAAACAAAAGGTCACATACCAGCACAACTGTTAAATGGTGGCATGAGGGTGGGACTGCTGTTCTGCTCCCTATTCAATTTCCTCCTACACTGGGGGCCAGATTCTGCCTCCATTGCAGCTGCTCTTGCTGCATGGGATTAGGGAGTTTTTTGGGTGATGTGCTTGTGTGAAGGCACTAATGGAGTACACAGCAGACAGGGTGGAATTCAGCACGGATCATAATCCTCCTTACAGGCTGTTGATGTGTGGCATCATATGCAAACCCATGCCTGGCACCTGCATTCACTTGCCTCATCATCCTTGAATGTATCATTGACTGTCCAGAGTGTAGTGCCCTTTTGTGCCTCTGCTCTTGCTTGGCTGGTGAAAATCAATCAGTGCCGTGAAATCTGGCTCTTGTGTGCAAATAATTGGACCATCTTTTTTCTGGAGTTCTTCAAAGGATGCTGACTTGTGGAAGAGGGAAACAATTAGTGTTTCATGTGGATCTGTACCTCTTCACAGATGGGTATGCAAGTAAAATGAGGCAAAAGGTGGAACATATCTTCTGCTTTTTTGGATAGCTGAGTACCTGGAGCGAGAAATTCCTGTGCTTCAAGTGCACTTCAGCAAATAAAGACAGCATTGTATTGCCAGTCTCGTCTCAGGCAAAGTAACTTGCAATTCAGAAGCTTTTCTTCTCAAGGTTTTGTGCTGATTATTCCTTTGGCTTTCACTTACCTGCACAAAGTTTGGTTTTTGTTATTACTACTAAGGGAAGATTACAGTTCACCTAGAAGATTCAGCAAATTCATAAACTCTGCACTTGATAACTGAGCTCCAATAAGCCTTCCTGGAATAATGCTCGTAAGTCAACTGTGGATGTTGAAGAACTATATAATAATGAGATCTGAACTTCAGTAACACCAACAGCTATGGCACTATTGTAAAGGGTAGAAATCTTTAATTTAAGTTTTAAAATCGTGTTTCTTCAATAGCAGTAGTACTGCATGTTGTAGTTAAGCACCACCAGTCTTAAAACTGTCTGTCTCACTTGGAAGATTCTAGCTGTCATTGACTCACAATAATAGACAGACTCCCACAAGTCAAGGTTTGAAAGGTCTTTGGAAACAGAAAGATAGAGGGATACATTCAAAGGGTTTTTCAAAAGAGCTGAAGATTAGTTTCTATGTCCTGTTGAAATGTATTTGAAAAAAATACTAGTCTCTATAGCAAAGAAATGATTTTTTTTCTTTTTTCTTCATTGTAATCAATGAGCGGAGATTTTAATACTTGTACCTAGTAGTTTGCAAGTGACTTTCAGGAAACCAGAGTGCTTGAAGTGGAAAACAGGTATGTCGTAATTCATGATGGGAAAAAGTATCTTTCCTTTTGGATTAATAAATTCTGTAAGATTAAAGTGACTGTATGTTCATAAAGATGCACAACTGCTTCAGAACAAATGCATCACAATTTTTCTAGACAGTGATTATAATTTGTGAATTAGAGCTAATTAAGGTATGTCAGTAACATAATGTAAAAAATGGCTGATTACCAGTTGCAGGAAAGATTTTGGAGCTTCCCGCGAAGTTTAATTTTGGTGAGTATATTTAGATTTAAAAACGTGCCCTCTGATAAGAGGTATTTTATTCTTTGTTTATAGGTCAGTAATGTTGTTAAGAACAGAAGATTACAGGCTAGGTGTTTTTCATAGGTGAGAAATAATTTTCCATGCAATTACTTTGATACTTTCTTTTTAAAATATTGAACATTTTAACTGTATGCAAGGGTGAGTGGTTTACAGTCATGAGCACAGCACAAAAACTGAACTTCTGCAGAAAGCCCTCCTCTGCTATATGTGGGATCTGTGTGATTGCTGATGATGCTACCAGGGCAGAAGGGGAGGGCAGTGTCCTCACAACACCAGCTGGAGCACCATGTGCCTCTGAGCTCCGAGGGTGGAGTACAGGCTCTGCATCTGCTGTCATGGCTGTTTCTGGCTGGGTGAACCAGCAGCAGTGCCAAGGGGTGCCTGGCTGCCCATGGTGTGCAGGTTTGCGTGGTGAGGGGCAGCAGTGCAGCAAGGTGGCTGTTGTGGGCAAGAGGGACATTCCTGTGGTCCGTGATAGGCATTAGCAAGAACATTGTTAAGTCTTTGACTGAGTGTGTGTTTGCATCAAGCACTGCTCCAACTAAAAATCCAGCAATACCTAGTTCCTATGTGGCACTTCTTACTAGGAGAATTTTAATGGGAGAGGGTGTATTAATACCTCTACCTTTGTAGAAATTACTGTTGAGCAATGAGGAGAGTTCCACCAAAGCTACGTGCTGAATTTGTCTTCCCCACTGCACTCTGGATCACAGCTGTGTGTTGGAGGGATGGAGAGTCCCGGGAACTTTGTCTTCACATGCTCCAAAGCTTCAGTGACATTCTAGCAGTAGGACAGTTCTGTATCCAACAGAGAGGTTAAGGTTGTGGATAAGCTTTTTAAACAAAGTTAAATGTGAAGATCTTGGTCTCTTGTCAACTCAGTCCTCTTTTAGGTAACTGAAAGGAGCTTTTTGCCAGTACAGCTGCTCCTAAAAATAGTAAGCAGGATTTTATTTTTCAAAATACCTCAGTTACTCAAAATTTGTCAAATTACTGAAATTATGTATATGTCTATAACTAGAGAAAAGGCAAAGAGGAAAAAAGTAAAACCCATAAAAGAAAAAAATAATGGTGCAGCTTTGACAGTCTCCTTGAAAACCAGCAGTAGCAGCAGTGTTGAACAGCTGCCATTGTGTTTGGCAATGCAGTGGGTCTGTTGAACAGAGATGCTGTCTGTTAGTGCCATTTTATTAAAGAATTACTTAATGATTTAAAACAAAGGATCTCCTTCACACAAGCCATTCACATCCTCTCACATCTGGGTCAGAAATGGACCCTCTTGAGCAAGTTCTTGGAAGTGCTTTGAAAATATTCAGGGTGGCATAGACCTAGAGAGTGGAGAGGAAGGGGGTGTTTAGTCAGTTTGTGTGGTGGTTTGAAAAACCTTTTCTCTGGGGCAGTAATGGTTTGCCCCACTGATAATACTAGACCAATCAAAGGTTCATATGCGCCCTACGGAAATTACATACCCACAGCAACGGAAGAGAAGGTGGTGAAGTAGTTTTTTAGTAGGTTGGTAGCCATGATCTGAACCACGAGGAGGGAGGGGGCCAGTGAGCCCCCTCTGGGGGCCAAGAGCCCCCAGCCCCAGCTGAAGCTACGGGAGACCCGGTGTAGTGTCAAAGCTGGACCGGGTCCCGTAATCAAGAGGTGGGAGAATTTCCTTACTGTCAGCAGCAGCAGAAAACATTGAAAACGGCAGCAGAGCTGTCCTGAACAGAGACAGCGATGGCTGAAAGCCAAAAAGATAGCCAGTAGCAACAAGATAACATGAAGCCGGCTGAAAGACGCAGAGATGTTCCTGCAGGAGGGAGAGCTGGCAACGAAACAGAAGAAAACTCAACAGAGCTGGTTTGGGGTAAGACTATATTAATTTCCCAAAACTCAGAGACCTGTTGAAGAGGAGGGGTGGACTTCCAAACCTTTAGAGAGTCCCAAAATGCGGCGGCAGCTAGAGTGAGACAGAGGGGCCGAGAAACCCGGAGTCGTCCTGAGAGCTGAGCCAGGATGGAACACGGGAGAGGTGGCCGTGCCCTCTGCTGCTGCTGCTGCTGCTTCTATCATGCTGGGAAGCTGAGACAGAGCAAAAGAGCTTTGGTAAGACTGAACTGAAATGTTCTATCAATGTTCTATCCCAACAGGAGTGAAGATCTACAAGGAAATCCCCCGAAGGCTCAGGCTCGGGGTTGGAATTTCCACAATGTAAGAACCAAAATCCTGACCACCATACTTAAATCTGCTGCCTTAGGAAAATGAAGGACACTAACCAGTGCCACAAAAAACTGAAACGAAGGAACTGTGGCCTGTGCAGTGACAGAAAGACTTTTCTCTTTCCTTCTTGGACTTTTATTGAAGGAAAAGAGGAATTTAATTCAATGTAAATATATATATATAGGTGTGAGTAAATAAACCTTTGTAAATATTTTTCCCTTCCCCCAATAACGAATGGTTGTGTTTCGTCTGAAAACTCTCCACATGAAGTGAAAAAGATATCAAGTCCATACCATCACTAAACCCTCTCACAGGGGCAGACTGTGGGAGGGGGGCTTGAACTTAAAAATTGGATCCTTGGGAGTTTCAAACCACCACATTTTTATCTGTGGTATTTCCGACTGAATAATAAGGGCAATTTCAATCCAAAAGAAAAGGGTGACACATAAATTTTTTAGAGCATTCAAAGGAAGCACAGAAGAATCTGTGCTGGCATCATCATAGCACTGGAAATGTCAGCTATACTATTATCGTCAGCTTTACCAATATCACCAGCTATGGAATTACTGCAGATAACAGTATTTTGACTTCGAAGCTGTGGAAGTGTCACACTGAAGCCAAAACACTGTCAGTCTAGGTGGACTGCAGTCATTGCCATGATGTTAAAGAGAAAACATGGCTTTTTGGGGGGCACATTCAAGACTGAAAACATTCCATATTTGGGTGATTTGAAAGGTCCTTAAAATACATTTACTAATTTGTAAATTTTGCATTGAATCATAGAATCATAGAATCAACTGGGTTGGTAAAGACCTTTGAGATCATCAAGTCCAACCCTTGATCCAACTCCACCGTGGTTACTAGACCATGGCACTAAATGCCACATCCAGTCTCATCTTAAAAACCTCCAGGGACGGTGAATCCACCACCTCCCTGGGCAGCCCATTCCAATGTCTGATTACTCTCTCTGTAAAAGATTTCTTCCTCATATCCAACCTAAACCTTCCCTGGCAGAGCTTACGATCATGCCCTCTTGTCTTACTGATAGCTGCCTGGGAGAAGAGACCAACCCCCACCTGGCTACAACCTCCTTTCAGGGAGTTGAAGAGAGTGATGAGATCTCCCCCGAGCCTTCTTTTCTCCAGGATAAACAACCCCAGCTCCGTCAGCCTCTCCTCGTAGGACTTGTGCTCATGCTTAACTTGAAGTTAACTTTTGAACAGGGAGGATGAAAACAATTGAAATCAGAGGATGATGATAGTATCCAATTACATGTTAGGAAAATACTATGAAATGTTATATTTATATAGCGTTAGTACAAAACAGCTAAACTAATAATTGCTTTTAAAGACAAAGGCATATCTAGTGTAAATTAGATGTATCCTGAGTCTGGGCAAAGTACAGATCATCTGTCTGTTCTTTCAGTTAATCAATAGTACCACCTGTGCTTTTTCATTGACTTCTTAATGCTAAATGGCAAACACTAACAGCCAGATCTGCAGTAGTCTAAATTGGCCTAATGGGTCATTAGAGCTGTACTGAAAAATGCCAACTGGGAATCTGGTGTGGACTGTAGGCTGAAAACTTAGGAAATGGAATAGCATAAACACTACTTTATAACTGCTTTAATTAATTTCTTGTAGTCCTCTGTATTGTCTAGTGGCTTATTTGACTTCTGTGTTGAATCAAGCAAGGATAATGTTAGCAGCAAATAATGCAAGAAAAACTGGATTGAAATCAGATTAGTAGGTGTTACAAGGTGTTTGATGGAACTGGAGGTTGATTGATCATGTGGGCCTTTAAATTGCCTCTTCAGTGAGGGTAGAAGAGATGTGTAGAAGACAGGTTGTGAGAGTTTGAGTTCTCTCTGTTCTGTCTGTCTTTACTTGCCTTCATTCTTTTTGCAAAATGAAATTAATAGTGCCTTTTTGTTCCTGGGCCAGAGAGGATGTGCACCAGGTGATGCGGAAGATACATACATTTTGCAATCCTACCTAAGACTCTTCCAACAGTGGCACTTGTAATGCTTACCTGTATTACAGTGTGGTGGTTTGTTTTGTTTGTTTGTTATTTGATCTACAAGCTAAAATAGCATCCAGGTGTGTCCCATTTCCTGCCTGTTAGATTGAGATTGATACCTCTGCTGTTTTGCAGTGTTTTATTTTCTGTTCTTTTGTGATATATCTTGGGGTTTATGCCAAAAATGAAATGAGACATATTTGTAGCTAGGAAGATTATTCAGAGTTACAATTAGAAGTGTGAAGCTTTGGAAGTGGTATTATTAAACCTCATATTTTAGGCCTTAACCTTATTCAGAAGTCACATTGTGAACCTGAGAGACAGAGGGGGTAGCAGATTATCTGATACCTCTGTCTGGAGGGCTCTTAAAACTCTGCTGAGTGTAGCCTCTCACAGAAGGGGGACACTGTCTCATTGCAGTGTAGCTGGTCTGACAGTGCTTACCTGAACCATGCTGAGCTTGGATAGGATTTATTTTTAAATCTCCTGTTTGGTTGCAGAGAGATGATCTGCCTATCAACACCTCACAGTCAAGCAGTAAAAACACAGCTCACTTCTGTGTATATTTCCATTTAGCAGTGACCAAATAAATAATTTTATTTAAATGTGTTCTTTGGGTTCTCCTTTTCCAACAGGGTGCATTTCTCCACTGTTTGCCCCTATAAAGCTTCTTGGCTCATTGTCTTCCAGTCTTGGTACCACCTTACAGCAATAGTTTATTTTTCTGGCATTGATCCGGGATTTTACAGGTGTTGTAGTCACTTTTCTTCATTCAGTGTGCAGCAAGTCACATTTTTATCTTCTGTATATGCTCCTAGAAAGGATAGTTTACAGTGGCTATATGTGACTGGAGATCTTCCATGAGAACCTGAGTAGCAAAGCATGGTGCAAGAAGGGGCTGAAACACATGCATAGTTGGTGAATTCCTCAAGTTCAGGCTTCAACTGCTTAGACATGTTTTTCTGGACTTTGGCAGGAAAAAAATGCTTTGGCACAGGTGACATAGTGTTTTCGATTTGCATCTCAGGGTCTGGGGGAAATTGCTTCACTATTTTCCTCTAGTGCACATGAAGTCAGACTTTAAAATGTCTTTGCTTATAGTGGACGAAACTTTCCTTGCATGAGAGAGACTGCTTTTAGAGCACCTGGTCTTAGGAGACGTCTTGCATTCAGCAGAGTGGCTAAGGGAGTTACTTTGTTTATAGTTCTTTGTCAAATCTGCCAGGCAATTCACAAAAGTAGAACAATGTCTAATGAGAAGGTTTGAGGCAGCCAACAGATAAGATGCATAGCAGAGGGAATGGTCAAAATATAAAACACTTGACATGCTTCGCCCTTCCTCCCCTTCCTTTGCAGTATTTTACATCCTTTTGTTACCTCTCAGGCTTGGTGTGGTCAGTCAGCCAAGTCTATATGGACAGCTTAATAACAGTTATATTTTAAGAGAGTTTCTATGTAAAAGCCTTTGCAAACTGACTTATAAAAGGATGTAATATTTCTCCCATCTGCTTTTCCAGCTTTTTACCCCAAGAATCAGGTAAACTGCTCAAATTTGCCACAGCTTTTCAAACTCAGAAAATGAAAAGGAAATTAGCCTGGATTTCTTGTATGGTAATAGAAGACTCTATCAGTATTGTCCCTGGGACATCCCATTCTAGAGTGCTGGTAAACCAACTGCCAGTGCACTGATTACAGTGCAGGCAGAGTCCTTATTCTCTGCATTGCAGATGTTCTTGCAGTGGAGTTTGGTACTTGAACAATTGAAAAATCTTGCCTTTTAAATTTCTTGTGGTGATCCATCTCAAATGGCAGTGGCTTTCTTATAGAGATCTTAAAAGTAATAAGAAGCCTAATTTAAGGGATCATTCTTCCACAGACTTTGCAATGCAGTTTCATTTTATCCAGGTAGACCTCTTGGTTTTCCTTTTATTGTACTTTAAATTATATGTAAAAACGCAGAAACTACATATGCTGTGCAAGTAATTTCTGTCAGCTACAAGATCACTGGAACCGCTCAGTAGTGATGCTCAGATTTAGTAGAAAATACTGTGCTGTTTTTTGGGTTGGGGGTTGGGTTTTTGTTTGGTTGGTTTTTTTTTTAATTATTACTGTTTTTTTAAATAGAAGGGAGAACACAATGAAATAAGAATTATACTGAGGCTAATAGATGTGTCAATGCAGTCATGAGTTAGGAAAGGGATGTACTGTATACGCCAGAGAAAAAAAAGTGTAGATCAAAGAAGAGGGGATAGGCAAGAGATGAGGGAAAGGAAAAATCAGGTTTCAAAAAACTTCTGTGTTTCCAAAAAAATACAATAAGTGACAAGAGAGATATCAGTGTAATCAGAAGCAATTATTTTAGGGGAAATTTCTCTAGTTACCATTAAAGGATGTTTTCTGTGACAGTAAATAAAGTAAAAGCTCAAGAAGCACAGGTTTTCTGATTTGATGCTATTTTAGAGTGTGAACATTGAATTACTTGTGCTGTATGTGTGCATGGAGAGGAAGAGATATGAACACTCTTTTTTAGAAGCCTTCTCGAGTGCTGTCCTGTCAATGGGTCCTGTCACTAGGGTTATGAATTATGGTGAGAAGGTGCTCACTGTGGGGAGATGCCATTTCTCATGCTCAGCAGAGCTGCCTGGGATCATCACAGCCTCTCAGTAGTCCCAAAGCTATTGGCACACAATTCTAGTGCTACTGATTGCCCCAGGAGATATGACTTGGATGCTGATGACATACTCAGCCAGACTGAGCTGGTGCTGGAACAACATACGCCCCAAACTATTCCTGGCACATTAATTTTATGCTTAGATTCAGATATACCTCTTGCTATTTTTTCCTCGCTCTTTCCTTGCTTCACATTCTTGTCTGCTAGTCCCTAAATTAAGAAGAAAAGTAGCTATTATGGTACTTCTGAGACTAGTATTTAACTAAAATGTGAGATCTGATAGAGAGCTCTCATGCATCTGAACATGCAGCAATGAGCTTCCAGAGCAAAAAGAAAAGATAGAATAGTACATTTTTTTGCAGTGTTCACAAAAAACCAAAAACTTGAAAGAATTGTCATTTGTGGAGTTTGGGTAATTGACCATAGCTACAGCTCTGCCCCCATGAATTTTCCAAGTGATTAACTTTGGCTTCAAATTACAGTTGTCCATTCAAAACAAGGTTTTATGTGATGCTTATTAATGTGATATGGAATATTCTATTCAATCCTTAAAAATGCAGCCAAATGCATAAACAAGAAGGCCATGGTAGTCTGTGTGCTACAACACTTGATCTGAATCATGCAGGCTGTAGTGATGTGTCCATTCTGCTGTTGAAGTTATAAATTCTGATGATCTTAAGCGGTATGTTTTAGGCGCTTGGTCGATCCTGATGTAAAGATTTTGTTTTAAATGGGTGGTTACTCTTACTGTGTCAAAAATTAAGAGCTGATTTACTAAGTTTTGTAAGTTTGAGTTGAAGTCCTTCCATGAATTCTGAGTTTTAGTCTGACAGGTGAAGGGAACCTTCTTCTCTTATAGAACTGCTATATGTTTGCTTGCAAACCATTGTGAAATCATGTTTAGAGTTTCACTTGACTGAACAAATAAAAATAACTTTTCTAGTGGCTTACTGTGGCCAGGTTTTTAAAAGTTTTAAGGCTTTTGCACCTTTTAAAATTTCCAGTGCAGTGCGCAAATGTTCAATATGGAGGCTTTTTGCATGTGGTATATGCACAAGCAGTATCGCTGCCTTCCTCTTTCACCTTTTCTTCTGTGTGCAAATGAGAGGTTTAGATCACATTTGGAAAAAAAATAGTGGAGAAGGCACTCCAACTGATTCAGTCCTCAGCATGATCATTTCATCTTTTACATCTATAATACAGAAATGTTCCCCATGCTGTTTGCCTTTGCACGTCTGCAGGAGTTCTGATGTCTTGGCTTGGGCTTGGTGAGCAGCAGGATGTGGCTCTGGTGGTGGTGGGGATGGGATGAGGTGATGAGCAGTGCTGCTGCCCCGAGCCTGCCCCACTGCAGTGTTGGGCAAGGACTCTGCTGAGCTGAGCAGTCATGAGAATGAGCCTGCTCTGCCCTGCACTGTGTCCTCACCTTGCCGCACTTTTCCAGCGGTGTCAGTCTTACATTTATCTGTGTAAAGTCTGTCTTCTTTAGAACCTACATTTGGTTAACTAGTAATTCACTTAATGGTGAACTTTTAGAATACAGTAATCTGTGGCTCTTGGAAAGCCCCTGCCATCCACATGCTGCTGCACCATGCTGCCTTCTGAGTGCTGCCTGCGTGAAATCTGCAAGGAAATCTGTCTGGAGGTGGTTTAACTGGGAAGAGGTGGGAGGCTATCTACACTTAGCAGCCTCTCAAAAAAAATTACTTCACCTCATGCTACACAAACAATTACAGGACAGTAAGGAAGTTATCAAGTAAGAAGGGAAACATGCTCTCAGGATGGCAGCATGTGCTAAACTTCTGTTTTAAAGACCAGTTTCTTTAGAAAAATTGACTTTGAGATGGCCATAGTTGTGAATGTGCTTGCACTGTTTGGAGAGCTAGAAATATAATTATAGCTTGGTTTTTCTTATTTCTTTACTTTTCAAAAGAGTATTGAGAATTTGAAATGTGGAATTAACTGGTGTAATCTTTTGAAAGGAACAGGAGCTGGTCTTTGTGTTTGCGGGAGGGAACTGTAAGAGACTGCATGTGGGTACTTTTCTATACAACAAACGTATTAGTAGGAATTGAATAATGAGTAACCTGATCAGATTTATAGCCAAGCTTGCCTGTCGTACTGTGATAATTACCAGCTACCTTGGGCCTTAATACCAAGTAGATGCTTCCCCACCTTCCAAGCCATTTGATTCTTTAGAAGTGAGTTCTTTATGGAAAAGAAGCAGTGCTTAGGGGAGGCACTGATCTTGGCTCAATACAGTGATCGGAAACACTTCCCGGTGCAGGCACTGCCATATTCCACAAGCTGTTTTTTTGAAGAGCAACTTAAATGGTAGCAGCTTTGGCCTGAGTCGAGGGTGGTTTGTCATGGTCATGAAAGTTACTGGCAGCATCAATGGATGTGGGCTTCCCTTGGATGCAATTATAGCCATGTTCAAAAGTACAAAACAAAATGGTGATAAGGAGATGTAAGAAGAGCAAGAGTAAATAATTGCTTAAAATCCTTTCTTGTTGCATGAAAATTTTATGTGTTTATAGGGAGGACAAAAACATGGAGTCATTCTAGTCTGAAAGTTGGTCACTAGATATGGAATGCCATCTCCAGACTGATGGACTACCAGTTCTTCTTTCTTCCTAGCTAAGAAGCTGATTCAGAGAGGTGTTTTTGATCAGTCTTCAATGATTTGTTATAATCTGTGCATACATTTTTTTCTTTCACTCAGGAGGAGGGAGGGTTGGACTGGATGATCTCGAGGTCTCTTCTGAACTCAGCTATTCTGTGAATATCTGAAGGATAAAATCTCTGTTCTGTATTACATTAGTCAAAGAGCAGTTGCTTTGTGTTGGGTTTTGTACTTTACCACGCACAGCTCTAGGCTGTGTCCATCGATCCAGTAACTAGTAAGTCTGTTGTAGTTGTGCTGAGAAATTTGTTGTGGATTAAGGGGTTTCAGCCGAGATGTTTTGCCAGGGAAATGCAGAGTTCCATCCATGGCAGAAGTAGCATTAGAAACCCTGGCAGAGGTTGATAAAATGTAACTTTCAAGTGGTTGTTGATACAAAGGAGTTCTGTTCGTCCTTGCAAGCAAACCATGGTAAAACGTTTGCATGGTAGTTACTGTGCACCTGTCTGGTTTCTGAGATTGTACCTTTGACATGCAACTTTGCCTGCAATAACAGTCCCAACAAGGCAGCACAGTGCAGAATCCTGGTGCTGTGTTCCCAGGCACAGGACCAAGGTCTGAGTTACGGTTATGTGCAGTTGGGATGGCTAGTCCAGAACTCACCTGGTGGTGGAGAGAAAATGCAACTTCATCTCCTGCAGGAGGAGAGTGGGGATGGAAGCAGAGGCTGTCAGTTCTGGGAAGTAATGGTACAGAAAGGAAGTAAACGTTTCCTTCCCTTTTCTTTTCCTACATTGTATCCAAGGTCTTCAAGGCAGAATGAGATACAAGTAGAAGAAGAGTAGAATTTTTTTTTTTGAGTGTATCAGTAGGTATATAATGTATACACGTATATATGTGTTGGTTTTGTAAGGTCATGCAAGTATTCCTGTTCTTAGGACTTGTTCATTATCTGTATTTTTGCGTTACCTGAGGTAGTGTCTACCTCTCTTCCCATGCCTTTAGACCATAGGCTGCTGAATGTGTGTAGGTGGCTAAGCCCTGTGACTTTCACTTGGGCTTAGGGGCTCACAACCAGCCACGAACACTTCAAGAGCAACTGGAAAGTGAGGCAGTTTCCTGTGGTGACACTGGCCAATTTAAAATGTCTTTTTTTTTTCTTCTTTTTTTTCCTAGTTGTTTTGGCTTTGCTGTCCTGGATAATGTTTTTATCAAACAAAGCTTGTATCACCCAAGCAGTTTGTGTGCTAAAGGGAACTGGATTGTGAAGTCTGAATTACATTGCTCTTGGCAGCACCCCTTGACTTCTCACGATTTTCTGTTGCTTTGATGAAGGGAACAGTGCTCAGCCATCTTAAAAAGAAGGTTAAATGCAATATTGAGGTGCACTGATTCTATTGTTCATGAGTAGGTTTTGCTATTCCTTGAAATGGCAGTATGACTAGCTGAAGATTCACAGGGCTTTTCCCTTGTTTGATTGATTTTTAAGACCAAAAAAGAGAGTGACAACAGACCAAATGAGATTGCAAGAACATCTGCATTGTTCTCCTGTGTACAGGAGGTCATGGACTTTGTCCTGGCTATCCAAGACACATGTTGTGATCTGCTATCAGTCACTATAGAGCCTTCAGTGATAAGGATGAGAACTTAGGTGGCATTGCATGTGACATTTCAGCAATAGTCACCAACGGATGACATCTCCTAAATACAGAATGACAACAGCAGGTAAAGCTTTTAGTGACATCCAAAGCAGCAGTAAAAGACTCCACTTCCAACAGCTGTTGGATAACTCCCAGCACAGAGACAAGAGGAGCTTGAGATCTGTGGGAAAAGGGCAAGAGATAAAAACAGGCTGAAAACTGTGAAACTTTGCTTCTATCTCTTTGTGGTTTTTCTGATACTTGTGGATCTTCAGGGTGTGATTGCTGCTGTTGGGAGCATATTGGTCAGCGCCATTCAATTTTAGGTGCTATTTACCAGGCTGTTTTTACAAGGGATGTACAGGGAAGCAAGGGCAGGCCACAGCAAAGTTCAGCTACACGTGCTGGCTTTGTGAATGATATATTTAAGCTTAGCCACCAAAAATAATAGTTGTGCCATGCCTCTGTGTAAACCTCCAAGGGACTGAAGAAATGATTCTGAACTACAATGCATTCTCCCTAAGGGACTTCTTTCAGCACTGAGTCCAATTATTTTTTAAATGTGGGGTTTAGCCCTCCAGGGAAGCCGTAAATGTGTCCATAACTGAGCTGTAGTGGGTTAAATATTCCCGATTGTCCTATTACAGGAATTCAGCAAAGAAAATAGGAGACAGTTCTCCCTAATAAAAGTACTAGCAGCTGTTCCCTAGCAATGTAAGTGATACTGCTTCATTTACTCTTGAATATCTAAATTGTGTTTGGCCACATCTAAGTTTATTTAAATTTAATTTCTCAATGGTTGAAACTGACCACTTCTGTTTTTTTAATCACTGCTGGTGACGACATTTTAAGTGTCTCTTGATGATTACTTATAGAATAATAGAATGGTTTGGATTGGAAGGGATCTTGAAGATTGTCTAGTTCCAACCCCCCTACCATAGGCAGGGACACCTTCAACTAGATCAGGTTACAAAGCCCCATCCAACCTTTCCTTGAACACTCTAGGGATGGAGCATCCACAACTTCCTTAGGCAACCTGTTCCAGTGCCTCACCACCCTTATAGTAAATAATTTCTTCCTGATATCTAATCTAAATCTCTCCTCTTTGAGTTTAAAACTGTTCTTCCTTGTCCTGTGACTGTCCACATGAGAAGTTGCTCTCCCTCTTATTTATATGTCCCCTTTAGGTACTGGAAGGCTGCTGTTGACCAGCCTTCCCTTCTCAAAGCTTAGCAACCCCAGCTTTCTCAGCCTGTCCTCAGAGGAAAGGTTCTTGAGCCTTCTGATCATCTTCATGGCCCTTCTTTGCACTGGCTCCAACAAGTCGATTTCCTTCCTGTGCTGGGGGTGCCAGAGCTGGATGCAGAGCTCTGGATGGGGTCTTAGCAGAGCAGAGGGGCAGAATCACCTCCCTCAACTTGCTGGCCATGCTACTTTGGATGCAGCCCAGGACGTACTTGGCTTTCTGGGCTATGAACACACATTGCCAGTTCGTGTCCAGCCTCTCATCCACCAGCACCCCCAAGTCCTTCTCTCCAGGGCTGCTCTTGATCTGCTCATGCCCCAGCCTGTGTTGATACCAGGTGTTGCCCTGACCCAGGTGCAGCACCTTGCACTTGACTTTGTTAAACCTCATGAGGTTCCCATGGGCCCAATCCTCAAGCTTCTCCAGGTCCTCTGGATGGCATCCCATCTTTTAGGAGGTCTCTTGCCCTGTTTTGTACTGGAACAGCATTCTTCTTGCTTCCTTTTGCTGCTGACAGATCTGCAGGAGCAATCTCTTGCCTTTCCCATCCCTTGCAGGTTTCCCTTCTGAGCTGTGCCCTTTGTAACTCCCTCCCTGCCATCCTCCTCTGTTTCTCCCAGGCAGCCTGTCCCTGCTTACACCTTCTGCAATGGCTTTCCAAGGTCTGAGGTCACTCCAGAGTTACCCATTCAGCCAAACTTGCCTCCTGCGTTACCTCCCTGTTTCCTCGCACTCTGTTCATATGCTTTAGAGAGGTTGCCTTTCAAGTTCAGCCCTTTCTCCTAAGTCTCTTGGCATTTAAGGTAATTTAGCTTTTACAGGCTACCCCTTACCAATTTCCTGAACGAGCCAAGACTGCTGCTCTGAAATCCAGGACCTTTATTCTGCTTTTTGCCTTCATTGCCTTCCTGAGTATTTTAAAGTCTTACTACACCTTACAGTCACTCGATCTAAGGCTGTCATCAGCCTTATGTCCTTAGCCATTCCTTCCTTAATTGATACAAGATTGAGCAGTGCACCTTTGCTAGTTAAAGGAGTACCTGCAATAAAAAAAGTCTTTGATGGTCTCCAGATTGCCTGTACTCTGCTGTTCTGATCTTCCAGCAGATGCCTCAAAGTTTCTGCATGAAAACATCTAATACTAAAGCTTCTTTCAATTGTTTAAAGGCTTTGTTAGCTTTTTCTTCTTGACTGGGCACTCTGTAGCACATGCACACACACATATGCAAACCCTTGCAAGCCTCCAGCCTTGGCTTCCTGGATCAGTGATATGTTGGGCTGTTGAAACAATGGGAAAACAGTGTGCAATATTTTAAGGAAGTACTAGACACTAAGTAAACTGGTGAGCAAATATGTTTGCACAGAAGAGGAATATTACCTTTTACTCCCTGCATGACTTGGGATGAGTCACTTCCCCTCTTTTCCTCCAGGTCTCAATCTGTGAAGTCTCTGCGGTAGTAGACCTACCATAATGAAGATAGGTGATGTGCAAGCACTGCTACCTTCCAGAGATTGCAGACATCATTGCATTAATACTCCTAAATGTAATTTGCATCCTCTCTTCATGGAAGCTGAGATTTGGTGATACAGAGAACATTCAAGATGACTTCCCAGTGAAAAAATAGGATGGGAATGTCCCCATGCACAAAAGCAAGGTTTGCGAGGAAGCATGGTTGCTAAAAACAATGTGCATGTTTGTAGAGCATTCTCTCATTACCAGGAATGAAATTATTTTGGGTATGACAGTGGAAGAGATCATACTCTAATTTGCTCTGTGTAAGGATTTTGAATTTCTGTGAACTACATGAGTAAGCTGTCTAGTACTGCAGAGTAGGATTAAGGCAAAAGGTGAGTGCATGGTAGAAATAAATATTTAAATGACCTGTTCAAATTACCCATACATGTGGAAAGACAAAACATTTGCTGTATTTTTCAGTCAAGAGGAATCTTTACATACTCCTGAACAGCTGACATTTGCTTCATTCAGTGTCAACCAAGTTAAGTCAAGCCTTGTTTCCTTTCTGTATTATGCTGTGGGGCTTCCTTGTTCGGGTTACGAAACATGGAGATTCCCAGTGCACTGTGCACTTTTCTCTATACCTTCCACATAGAAATACCTATTTTTAGGCTCAAGTGTGTGCATGAAGACCTTAATTAAGAAAATATATTTTTCTGTACTACCCTGCTTGTAATGTCCAGGTGTTTCTAACTGTGGTGTTTCCCCAAGCCCTCTTTCTTCTCAGTGTCTTGCATTACCAGTAGCTACCTGCTGACAAGTTTTTTATCTTAGTTTTCTACTGTGATAATTGCACTGCCTCTCTTGACTTAAGTAGTTTTAAGTAGTAGTTTAAGCCAATATGTGTACACTGCCAGTGCTGGTCAAGTTTATCTACTACTTCTTCTGCAACTTCAGGTTGCTAGTGTCTGTACATCAGAAAACAAAGTACGAGTGGTTCAATTAATCTTAATACCATTTTGAGCCTACTGCTGTAATCAGGTGATCATGTTTACACATGTACTTATTCTGACATAAAACCCTACAAAAATAGAAGGGACTTCAGTGGACAAAGTGAGGGTTTGCCAAATCCATCCCTTGCTAATATCAGTAGCTATGCCTTATTTTAAACAAGACTGGATTTACTTTGATTTCTGCATTAGTGCAGATTACATTGAGCAGAACATTTAATGTATCTCATTGATTTTCCCTGTAATACTGTTGATACACAAGTCACAGCTCTAATCATTTGTTTTACCATTAGAATTCTGTATGCAGATCTAGTCCCTGAGGATATCAGTGTGTAACCAGATACTGCATGATCTAATCAGATTCTGCAAGAAATATGTTATCACTTCAACACTTAGCAGCAGAAACCTTCATCAAAATGGAAAATTTATCTAATATTTAAAGGAAAATGCAGTTCAAAGAGACAACCACGAAAAGCAGAGGTGTACAAAATTTAAAGACATTTCTCAGATTAAACAAAGCCAAATCCAAGCCAGAGTCTAAGGTGATTTGTTGTGACTCCATTTATTGCTAAAGGAGAAAATGTTATAGCTGTTGCCTCAGTTTATAGGGTTTATTCCAGTTCAGGTGAAATAGCATTGCTCTCAGAAATGACTGACTGGCAGGATTTCATTAATGTGATACTTATTTGCTACAGCATGCATGCTTTGGAAAGTAATTTTGAAAAGCACCTACAAAAGCATCGGTGACAGGCAAGACTAGTGCTCTGAACCCATTTTGATGTAGGATTTGGATGTCTGAGGGCCTAGTGCTGCAGTCCATTTCAGGAGTGCAAGTCCTGCTGACCTTGAAGGAGGTTTGCAAGCAGTGTGTCTGAGGCAGAGGAGCAGATCTGCTTGCAGCCATGAATCTGACCAGAAGCATCTTCTTTGGCTGGAATAGTGGGAGTGTGGCTGTGCCAGCAGACAGACAGTGTTTTTGTGTAAACTGCCAGGTCTCACCACCAGGTATTCAGCAGGCTGAGGGTAGACAAAGGTGATAAACATCCCCTCTGGTCAGTTTATCTCTCCATAAAGCAAGATGAAGCCCCTTGCAGAGGAATGATCATGCAGATCATTTGCAGATGTCCTTAGATTTATCACCTGCTTTCATGTGGATGTCTAAATGCTTAGCAAAATTAACTGCTGCCTTTTCTTTTTGATTGGTTGGTTGGTTGTTGGGTTTTTTTTGTTTCATTTGCTTTGTTTTTGTTGTTTTTTTGGTTGGTTTGCTTTATTTTTTTTTTGGTTGGTTGGTTTGGGTTTTGGTTTGTTTTTTTTTAAATGGACATACCTTAAGGCAGAGAATTTTGCATAGCAAAGTGCCATACATATTTGTATTCAACTGTATTGTAGAAAATGATAACTCCTGTACATAGACATGTTAAGAAGTATACCCCATTCTTGTCAAGAACACGCAGTGGAGTTTCTGAATTTTATCAGTGGAATGCAATGCTATCCTTGTTTCTATCTATTGTACTTATTTAGCAAAGTAAAGGAAAGAGTTTTAAAGGTAAAGTTAAGAAGGAAAACAGGATTCAGTAACCTTGTGGATGAGCAGACGAGACTTGAAATAAAGGTCAGAAAGATTAAGTGTCCTTGGCATTTTTTCAACTCCTATTTTAGCTGGCTATAAAGGTGTGCGTGGAATGATATTGGTTTGTTTTGTTTCCTTTGATTCTGCAAATTAGACAGTGCATGATTCAGTGTGCAGGTCCAGACTCTTCCTGTTGGCTCAAGGGATTTATTATGTGACTATCTTTGCTACCAGAACTGCTTCAGTGTTGAGAACCTACTGGCTTCATTGAGCTTAAAAGCATAAGTAAGAGCTGGAGAGCAAGCATCAGACAAGCAGTGAAACAGGCATTACCTTTCTTTCAAGTTCCTGCAAAGTGCTGGTGGGGAAATGCTGCCAGACAAATGTACTGTAATTGAGGGAAAGGGCAGGAGAGGTGGTTGGTGAGTGTGGTACAGGTCAGAAAATTATGTTTATTAAGGAAAAAATCATTAATTACTTTTAATCTACAAATACAATGCTGATACTTTTCCTCTGTTGTGTTTTTAGGGTCTCATGACTCTTTTAGTTTCTACATCGATGAAGCCTCTCCAGTTGGGCCTGAACAGCCGGAAACAGTCCAGAATTTTGTGTCAGTTTTTGGGACTGTGGCTAAGAAGCTGATGAGGAAGTGGTTGGCTACACAGACCATGAACTTCACCAGCCAGCTGGGGGCAGGTATACGGTATTTTGATCTTAGAATTTCCACCAAGCCCAGAGACCCAGACAATGAGCTCTACTTCGCTCATGGTTTATTCAGTGCCAAAGTCAAGGAGGGTCTGGAGGAGATCAATGCATTTCTCACTGAGCACCCAAAAGAAGTGGTCTTCTTGGACTTCAATCACTTCTATGGGATGCAGAAGTACCATCATGAAAAGCTTGTCCAGATGCTCAAAGATACGTATGGAAACAAAATGTGTCCTGCTATATTTGCCCATGAAGTCACCCTCCAGTACCTGTGGGAGAAGGAACACCAAGTGCTGGTGTTCTACCACAGCCCAGTGGCTGTCGAGGTAGCGTTTCTTTGGCCAGGCCAGATGATGCCAGCTCCTTGGGCAAACACAACGGATCCGGAAAAACTGATTCAGTTTCTCCAGGCATCAATCACTGAAAGAAGAAAGAAGGGCTCCTTTTTTATATCTCAAGTAGTGCTGACACCAAAGGCTAGTACAGTGGTGAAAGGGGTTGCTAGTGGTCTCAGAGAAACAATCACAGAAAGGTAAGTTTATGGCTGGTAAGGTATGCTGACTGTCCCAAGTATGTGTGTTGGTAGTGCTGCTTTTCTAATTCCTTTTAAAGAAACTCCAGCAGATGCATTTCTCCCCTGCTACTGTGGGCTAATCAGAACTTGGGCACAATTCTAAAATCCTAAAGAGAAACACATTCAAGGACAAGCTTTTGTATCCTGAAAGAAAATCTGCTGCTTAAAGCCTAATGAGATATTATGGGATTGGCCTAATTTCTACTTTCTTTTTATTTTTTTTGTGAACACAGGTTTTGCTAATTTGTTTTGTTTTTCAAATTTGATTTCTCACTGTGACTATCTTGCCTGGGATTTCCTTACTGAATGAGGAAAAATCCATCTGCATGATCTAGATAATTTAAGGTTTTATTTATACATCAGGTATTGGATAAATAATTTGTTCATCCTGGCTCATCAGCAAAGCCTGATGCTGCAGACTTAGCATCCTTAACTACGTTTACACACCTTAAAGTTGCATGGTTTCTCTGTCTCCATACAATCACACATTGCATCGAAGCTAGCAGGACAGCATTAGAGTGAATTCGACTCCTGACAGTCTCTGAGTTATCATACAGGAAAGAGACTGCAGATCATTGTATAGGTTCTGTACATGGAATACTTTGTTGAAAGGCTATTAGTTGTTAAATTACAAAAAAAGCTACCTGTGAAAGACATGCATTATTTATACCATTCTGACTTTATTAAATCATAGCCAATTTTCAGCTTAAAGGCATATATGTGCACTGCGTTCTTGACAACTTGGTAGGAAGCCTGAAATTTAATGCCAACATGCGAGAGCTGTTGGTTTTGGTTTTTTTTTCTCCTTAAAAATAAAGAGCTGCAGAGTGTAAAAAAAAGTTTACAGTGGGGGTCACTGGCCTGTTAGTATTCTGCTCTCTGCACAGATGTGCTTGTGCCAGGAAGGTCTGTTGGAAATACTATCCCATTCTATGAGATGAATGACACAGCGCCTGCAAAGAAAACATGCCTCATCTTTGAGAAATGTTGAGCCATTTTTATGGCAGCTTTCCAAGCAACTGTTAACTTAAAAAATTAGGTGAAAACTTTACGTGAAATGGTAAAACATTGACATAGTAGGTTTTATGAGCAGTGGAATGTGATTCAGAAGTTCTTGTGTGACTGCACTTGCAGCTGTTGGTATATCTTTCATCTATGTTTTATAGGCTCCATTGGACTGGAGAATCTCCCTTTCTGCCGAGTCTGAAGAGCACTTCTCTGTGCTGAAATACTACTTTGTTGATGGGTTTTACCAATAAACACCTTGTTGTTCAGGGATTTGTTTTCTCTGCTAAACATCTTTCTGAGTGTTCTTTAGAACATGAAGTAGCACAATCAGGAAACTAACAGGTTGTTCTTAAAGCTTGCTGCATCAATAAAATAGCCATTAAAATCCATTTTCTTCTTCTCTAGCTCATAATGTACTTTCTTGAAGCTGCTTGGAAAAATAAAGGCTTCATAAAGATGCTGAATATGACTGAGCTCTGAACGTCCTGAGCCTTTGAACTCATAGTATGTCTTTCTCCACAGCAAATTTTGAGATTGTGACTAACCTGAAATGTCAGGTTATAATTGGGCTGAAAAACTTGGAAATATTGTTTTTCCAAATTTCAACTAAGATTTTTCACATGAGCCACAAATGTGTAATCACATCTGCTGCATGAGTACTTGCTTCTTTCTTTGCATAACTGTTATAAGCCATTATGAAAAAAATGGACCTTTAAAATTATCTCCAGGCTTGGAATGTGTGATAATGTAGAGAAAAACTGAGCTTGTATGTTGAGTTAACTGCTCTAAAAGTAAACATCAA